TTTATTCATTTAAGAACAACGATTAATATTGTTTGCAAGTATGTGTTGTTGGGGCTTATGAGATACTCGAAATAATAAGGTCGGTGTGGAGGGGGATATGTGAACGTTAAGCAGGTGATTGATAAAAGGTGTAAATAAGTTCATGTACTAACATAAAAAGTCAAATAAGCCCTTATTTAAGAAGGTTTGTCCGGCCTTCGCTTTTTGGGTGGTTAACGGAAGAATTTTTTGATGAATTTTTTTGAGCATCTTATTCATTAAATCTAGTTTACTCATGTCAAATTTTATCTAAAACTTCAATCGAGAAGGCATTCAAATGAATTCTTGAATATAACTACACAGTTAGAATCGCAGTTATTTTCAAGAATTCATTTAAATGCCTTCCCGTTTGAATTTTTAGCTGAAATTTGGTATGAGTAAACTAGACTTAATGAATAAGATGATAAAAAAAATTCATCAAAAAATTCCACCGGAAACTACCCCGAATGGTGACGGCCGGACATAGCCTCCTAAATAAGGGCCTATTTGACCTTTTTTGGTTAGTACATGGGCTTATTTGCACCTTTTTCCCTACATGATTTGTAATGGGTAACTTCTTCTATACAGTCGGAGGCTCATTCTCGTAAAACAAAGTCAATTCATTATTGCATCGTTCTCCCCTAGTTAATCATATATAACCACTCTTTGTTCTTGCTTCAAAGAAAAAATAGAATGTCAAGAACATATAAAACATCATTACATTGGCATTTTGCCCGATAAGTCATGGAAATTTGCACGTTGTGCTGAAAATTGGAGTAAGGTTCACCACAATATACAATTTTTCATTTTATTCTAAGACAAAATGATAGAAGAAGTAATTCAAAATCTTATATCATATTATTATAACTATTATTTATGATAAACATGTTTGAGAAATATATTTCCGATCCACACAATACAATGAAACATCATTGTGAATATGCGATCGTGATAGAAAACTATTAGTGTTATTATGAAATAAAATGTACCATATGTATCTAGTTTATTTTCAATTAGGTGGTCAAGTTTTGAAATATTGAAATACAGTACACCCAGTATTAAGAAAATAAGTTTTTTTTTATAACCACAACAAATTGGTTTTTACACTATTTACATTAAAGAGATTCATTCAACTATATAAGTTATTGTTAAACTTATTTTAGTTTAACTTTCCAAATAACCGTTCTTTTTCCTTTTTAACAAACCATTATTCAAAGTAATAATCAAAGTTCCTATTGAGCCATCGACAATGGCCAAGTTCAAAGATATAAATTGATGTATAAACACATGTAAAATTGAAGATAATGTCTTTCTATTTTATTTGAATGTATGTGATGGAGTATATTCTCATATACCCAGGGTATCATAATCGCGGATCAAAGGCTACAAAGACTTAGGAGAGTAACCAAGTACCAGAGTTCTGCCCGAGCCCGACCTCGACCCCGACCCCGAGATCGGAGAAAACCCAAGCTCAGGAATGGCCCGGAGAAGGCAAAATACGAACCCAACCTCGACCGCCCCGAGCTCGGTACCAAATCCGACCCCGTGCAACACTCTGAGGTTAGCGCACAGTTAAGAAGAAACAAGCGGAAGACTGACTCCAACGATATTGAAGACTAGTGGAAATAACCCCCCGGGGGAATCACTTCATCTGAGCCTGACCTTATGGAACTCAGATGGCCAGCCGTGGGCTCAACCTTCTTGCTAGCAAAGCACAAAAGACTCTGAACCCGACCTCCCCGAGGTCGGGTATGTATCAAACTCGAGAAATATCGGACAAAAAACCCATCCGAGTCCAACCTCGAGGTCGGGAAAATGTCGAGCTCAGGAATCACCCATATAAGACAAACTGTGGGACCGACCTCAAGCACCCCGAGGGTCGGTCACGACTCTGAGCTCAAACACCAATGCAAGTTTGGTCAGGGCACATTGAAAGTCAGACACAAGGGTCAATGCTACCCAGCAGAACCAAAGACCAGAAGAGGATTCTCCATCAAAAGAGCACGGGCTCCCGAGATCTGACCTCCAAGAGCTCGGGGTCTCTCAAGCTTTGTGGGGACTTAGTCATTTTCATCATTTATATTTCTTATATATTTCTTGTATGGGGCCTAGCCCATTCTATGTATCGGCCCAACGACACTTCATATGCCCAAGTGTCCTCTATGTTTGATGTATATCTTTTATTGGGCCTGGCCCGCTTATTCCGTAGGTTAGCCCGTTTCGTTTCCTATAAATAGACTCTATTATGAAGCCAATATAAATTGAGGGGGGTAGAAAAAGAAATCATTTTTAGAATGAGATTCTCCACTATAAAAATAGATGGCTATTGTGAAGCCACACAGACTATATGACTCCATAGTATAGTCATTCAGGACTCCATTTTATTTTAATGAAACATGATCAATTTGATAATTCTCGCAACAGAAAATTTTCTCTTTTGACAATTCACTATCTCAAGATCTCTATTCATGAATGGAAGTAGTGGACGTGTATGAGGCTCATTTCACTCCAAATTCCAAAAAGTCTTTAATTATTACTGAAATGCTTCTTGTACACAAGTTGTAAACAAATATGAGTAATAGAAAATTGGTGTGATGGCACATGGGAGCTGCAAGCGAGCACATATAAGAGTTGTGTGTGTACAGACAATTCTTGTCTATGCCCACATACATTAATTTTCGTGTACAAACTACACTGACAGGCGCCTGACACTTGCGTGCAAACCATCAATCTGTGTGCAGTGCCTGTGTGCACAAACAATAATTGTATGTGCACAGACGTTTTTTTTGTGATCAAAATGTAGACTTTTCATATATATTTCACCACACATGCAATAGTTGTGGGCTCACAGACGATAGTTGTTTGCGTTGTCATTTTTAATTGTCTGTGTTCACATAGATTTTGTTTCAAAAAATAACTATGCTGTTCACAGACAATAATTGTTTTTGTGATCAATTTTGATTGTCTGGGTGAACAAAATATTTCATTGACAATATGCTTTAAAATGAATGATTTAGTTGTATGTGTCCTCAATTTACATGCAATTTGAAAAAAATGAAAAAAATAATAAAATGGATGGAAGTTGATAAATAAACTAATTTTGTGCAAGTAATGTAAAAAATGAATATAAAAAAAGTAGAGGAGAAAAGGATGAAGAAGGGAAGAAGATCATGAAGAAGATAAGAAGATGATCCGATCTTCTTTTGGATATCCAACAAAACTGGGTACAGAGGGAAGAGAGAAGGGAGAGGAGGAAAAAATTGGAGAATAAAATTGATAAATTTGATGTTTTTATATAGTGTGTACAAATTTTGTACAAATTTTCCTAATTATTAATAAAAGAAATCGTGTGAAACCCTAGGCGGCTAGGCGAGAGGCGAATTGTGACGTCGCGCCTCCAGTCACTCGTACTCCAGCCTGATGCGTTGTTGCGGTCCGCCTGCCTCTTGGATTATATGCATCGTCCAACCTCTAGATCCATGTAAAACTGAAAGAGCATGAACAACACATCCAAGTGGGTAACGAGTTCCATATATGTATTATTCCAGGCAACAAAAATTCTTGATAGGGTATGACCAACTAAGCTGATCTTCTTTTCTACTTGTGTTTGTTTTGTGTTTTGACGGTTATTTCCTGGGCACTTGCGCTTTGGGTTGTTTTGTCTCTCTCGACGTGGGGAGTTGTTTTGGTGTCTCGATCAGCTTTGTTTGGTCAGAGATTTATAGATGCTTTTCTTTTGGGTTTTTTAGATAATGGTAAAGTCCGTCCTCCTCCAGAACCAACTTCGTGCCAGGAAGAATTTTGTGAAAATACTTTGTTTCAATTTTATTTTTCTTTTAGTAGTACTTACCTTTATTTTACTTCAAGTATGTTTGGTTTGGAAATTTGGAATACTATTGATAGACAACGTTTCAGTTCCGATTGTTTAAACTTAAATTTATCTATTTCATGCTTAGCGAATTAGATTGTTTTGTATGAGGTGACTGATTTTGTATCAATTCTTAGAACTTACAAATGCCTTTATCATAATTGTTTGAATATTACTTTCTTTATTCCTTAAAACTTTGCCAACTTTTCTTTTCTTGATGTCCCACCAATTTTGTCATTTTTCCTTTAAGTAAAAAAATTTGTGGTTCCAGTTAATTATCTCTCCTCTGCACAACTTCAAACATAGAGTTTTTACTTTATTAATCCTCATGCCGATCAAACTTAACAGAGTTTAAGAGACGGAGGGAGTATTTTATAAGATGTCTTTGCTATTCATTTAGTCAACACAAATCACTCTTAATCTCTTACTTTATACGTAGTATGTCAAGATTTTATGAAATTTGAATTATTTTTTGCAGGTTTTGTAGCGGTTGTAATGAAGTTTTTGAATATGTAATTTTTTTCTTCTAAAAATAATTTGAGTGCAGACAGAGATCTGTTTGTTTTATCGTCAGTCAAACATCGTAAACCGAAAAGTATCTTATAATTCGGGTCGGAGGGAGTATGAATTTTCTATATTAATATACAAAAATGATGTTTGTACTCACTCTTATACTCACCTTGTACCCACCTATATTTGTGAAGTGTTTTTTTTTTCGTCAGTGAAACTGATTTAGAACATTACGTACCTTAACAACACTTCCGTATTGCAGTAATGTTTGTAGGAGTAGAAAAAATGAAAGTCGCAGGTATTGTACGGCCCAAATACATGACTGGTCTAATAATTATACACCAGTCGCAGGGCACGAATTACAGCACTCACGCGCGGCATCGGCAGATAATATCCGTGGAATCATACACGTACGCCGGGCAGGCGCGTGGAGACGAGAGGAAACGCAGGAGCGACCACGCTAGGTGTGCTAGAAAGATGCCGGTGGGCCCAGGCTCAACGTACATCCACCGCTTTATTATGCGATGACTCGGTACCACCGCGCATTTCCGCTTCCCCACGCGCCCCTCTCGCCGCACGCGCGCCCGTGTATATAAGTGCATTTGCGGACGCCATACACGCACGCGCGAGAACCCTTCCTTTCTCTCTCTCTCATCATTTTGTCCTCACTTCCTGGCTCCTGCTACCCTCGCTTTGTGCCGGCTCATAAAAAGCCCTGTTCTTTCTCCTTCTGGGCATACCAATAACTGCTACGTGTTTGATTTGCCATCGATATAGTAACTTCTCATCTGACCCTCAGTGAAACGCTTCTGGTCTGGTGAAATAATTGAATCCCAGAAAGGTACTTTCTTCAATCTGTAATCCCGCCGCCCCGCTTTTTGATTTTTGATTCGTGCGATTTAGTGCTTCTGATATGTTTTCTTCAGATTCATATCATCCGGTGGTTTTTACAATCCGTTAATCAGTAGTTTTTTGGTAGTTTGGTTTTTATGTTTTATTCCCCCCCGGAAAAGTTATGAATTTTAGCCGTGTCCATGGCTGCCTGAGCTCTGTTTTTCTGTTTCAGCTGAATCTGTATATCTATATCATTCTTGCACCTTAAAGATTTCCCTTTTCATGTTGCTATCTTGTTTGAACGAGAAGAGATGTAAAATTTTGCTTCCGCGATAGTTGGAAGGTTTAATTTTTCTCATCTTTGCGGATCTAGTGTTCATTATTGGTGCTGTTACTGTGTGTTTGAATATTAATTGAATAATAGTATATGGATTTCGAATTGCTCACATGGGAAGATATCAGGGATAATAAGTTCTTTACCGGAGTACATTTGTTCTATAGTGAAAGAATTTGTCAGAGAGACAATCATGGGGTTTCTAAGGTGTAAATGAGTTTCTGATCTTATGTACGTATTGCAATACTTTAGTAGTTAGAGCGTTAACCTTATGCATTTGTCAAATTTTTATTTGAAATCTTTCAGAGTTGGCCCTAACCGAGTTGCACCCAGTAAAGTAAATGACCCAATAATGAAAATATCTGGAAATTCGGCAAGTAACTCTGTTTTGTCAATCATTCCGACTTCCAACTCAGTAGATTACTCCATATGATTTAGGATTTTGCCGAGTACTCACATGCTAAATAACTTGACCTAAAGAATTTGACATATCTGAACTCCCAGAGTCCCAGTAGGGTAATAATTGTTCAGTAGAAGTTCAAACTCTCTGTTACATTAGATGCTTGTCTGATATTTTCTTTTGGATTTATACCTCATAGGCGCATATGAATACAGAGAAGTTCATTCAGTCCTGTAATAGTCTGGACCTTTTCCCATCTCTTTCTAATGATTTCATGTATGTTAAACCAAAGGAGGACTTCTAATACCATAGTTTTGCCCCCCCTGCATAGTTGCATACTAACTTATCCTTAGTTGGTCTACGTGCGATGTTACAATGCAAATCTCAATGGTGCAACTGAATCAGGAGATCCTCTCAGCCAGTATGTTGGAAAATCTATGTTTGTGTTGTGTGGTTCCCAATTGGAATCTTCCTTGTTCGAAGTGTGCCATCTCCCACTACATGCTGGATTGCAGACTAATGAATGACTGAGTGTCTTCCGGGTTGACTAATTTTCATCCAATGTGCTTCAGCAGTTGATGCATAATCTTCTTGAGCTCATTGGTTCTTCAAGCGCTACGATTCTTAGAGTTCACTGCTAGGAGGGCAGGTTCGTCAGTGTGTTATTTTGAAGAACGCCACGGGCTAAGAAATATTGAAAGTTTTAGTATTTTTCTTGAGACCCTGAGCTCTCTAGGACTGGGTTCTTGTGAGACCCAAAACTCCCAAAGTTCTTTTCTAAAATTCTGGGTTGTATTATTCTATAGGGTTCTATAGGCTAGTAATATAAGTCATGTTAAAGCATATAGGGTTATAGGGGGATGTAAGATTCTAGACTATTGGAAGTCCCGTGGCGGTGTTCTCTATATTGAGTGTGGAGCCGAGTAATGCACTATTGCCTATGGCTACACATATTGATGATGTTTCGTGCTTGGGTTTGATGCGAATATCGTCTGTCTAAGATTGTGGATGATTATAATATCCATTTTATGTATAAAAGCTCTCTTCTTGAAAATAAAGGGTTACTGTCCCAAGTTCCGAATCCCAACAAAGGTTCTACTAAGTTACATGTGTAGAATTTAATGCTGGGTAATGCAATATGCACCTCGTTTAGGGTTAATATACTCGTTAAGCTTTCACTAAAAATGCCATTAAGGCACCTGTTCTACCACCCTTCATCTCTCTCCAACACAAAAAGCATACGTGGATATCAATTGATGTTTCCCTTGCATAGTTTTACCTAAATAGATTAATGTTTAGTTTGCTTTTCTTTTCATTCATAAGGATGGCATTATTGTTGTAACTTTCTTTTCTGTTTTAGTGTATTTGTGTCCTTTGCACTCTATTTTTGTACTTCAAGGTGCAACCTAGTGCCGCTCATAACATATTTCTTTATAATGCAGGATGATGGTTTGTCGTTATCTTCTGATTATGGTTTCAAGATTGCTTATATTTTCCATGCATTGCCATTGCTGACACTAAGCTGTCGGGATTAAATTGTTAAAGAAATGGATCGACGTGATACATCAGGTTTTGTAAGTGGGGGTGGGATGTGCTGTTTTGTGGACAGGTTGCTCTTAAGTTCCCAGAAGTCAGGTTAAGTGCTCTTTTACTATTTTAAGGTTTGGCTCAGTGCTAACTTTGTCAAGGTTTAGATTCAAGGTTTATGGATCCCAGATTCCACAGTTCTGATTTTGCTGTGGACCTGACCTTGAATGCGTATAATAGTGTGAAGAATCCAATTCAAGTAGGAGTGGGAATTCGAGATGGTTGCGCTGATACCACTTTGCGACTTGATTCTCTTAGCTCTTTTGTCTCATGTGGTAATTTCCCAAAGGGAATCAAAAGGAAATGGAGCTTGATTGATGGACCTATCAACCAGCTGTCTGGGTCCTCTCTGTGTTTGGGCCTGGGCCATTCATCCAGCTCCTCTGAGAGTAACATGAGCTCAGCCACTGTGACCATCTGCACTTCAACGTCTTCAACTAAAGAAACTGATGCAGAGTCCTCTATGGACCTAGAATTGGATTTCACTCTCCATATTGGCAATGAAAAGTCACTGAGCCCTAGCATCAAGTCCGCTAGCTGTCAGAAAGAACATGCCTTTGATATACCGGTTAATGTTGATCTGGAACTGAGCCTTTCCAGTGGCCCTAGTGAATCTGGTATTACTATTCTGAATCAATGTTTTACTTCGTCACATGGTTCCATGACTCTGCCAGACACTACTGTTGGAGCAAAAGTAGATGAAGGATCAACGTCATCTTCTTGGAAAAGTGGGAGTCTTTTCAATCCATTACAGACAGAAAATAGCACTGAGGCTAGTCACTTTATCAATCAAGATCTTGCTTCTCATGATCCCTGTTTGAGTCGCATGACTAACCTAAAGAGCTCTTTAACCTGTACTTCTGGGGTGACAAATCAGCTAGAGCAGCAGCAACGTAGTAGTATCAAACAGTGTCAGTTCGAGGGATGCGTGAAAGGAGCTAGAGGTGCTTCCGGCCTTTGCATTGCCCATGGTGGTGGCCGGAGGTGCCAGAAATCCGGATGCCACAAAGGAGCAGAGGGTCGAACTGCATTCTGCAAGGCCCATGGTGGCGGTCGTCGGTGTGAGTTCCTAGGATGCACAAAAAGTGCTGAAGGACGTACAGATTTCTGTATCGCACACGGAGGTGGCCGTCGTTGCAGCCACCAGGGCTGCAGCCGTGCCGCCAGAGGGAAATCTGGGCTGTGCATTCGACATGGTGGAGGCAAGAGATGCCAAAAAGAGAACTGCACCAAGAGTGCCGAAGGCCTTTCTGGACTCTGCATTTCACATGGCGGTGGCCGGAGATGTCAATATCCGCAATGCTCCAAAGGGGCACAAGGAAGCACAATGTTCTGCAAGGCGCATGGGGGTGGTAAGCGTTGCAGCTTTGAAGGGTGTACAAAGGGTGCAGAGGGGAGCACACCCTATTGCAAGGGCCATGGCGGAGGAAAAAGATGTTCCTTCCAAGGAAATGGAGGGGTTTGCCCAAAAAGTGTGCACGGAGGGACTCTTTACTGTGTAGCACATGGGGGCGGTAAGAGGTGTGCCGTCACTGACTGCACGAAGAGCGCAAGGGGCCGAACAGATTTTTGTGTGCGTCATGGTGGGGGGAAAAGATGTAAGTTTGAAGGGTGTGGGAAAAGTGCCCAAGGAAGCACTGAATTCTGCAAGGCACATGGTGGGGGAAAGAGGTGTTCGTGGGGTCAACCTGGTCGTGAATTTGGCATAGGTGATGGTCCTTGTAACTCACTGGCTAGGGGTAAAATGGGGTTATGTGCATCACATGGTGCTCTAGTGCAGGACAATCGGGTACATGGTGGGGCCAATATCGGTGTTGTAGTAAATGATACAACACCTAACAATAAACCTGAGAAGTTGAATGTTACTGCCACTCATGATGTCATGGACGTGGACATCATGCAGACCGAGTCATGTCCCTTTGGGAGCAAATGTTTTGATGTTAAGGAACCTAGCAGCCCAGACAGAATTGGCGAAGGGAGGGTACATGGCGGAGCTTTAATGTCGCTGCTAACAAAGAAAATGGACATGGTGAGTCATAAGAACTGGATGTAAGAAGCATTTTCAGCGTAATGATACCTCTTTCGGTGTAATCTCTGGTATTTACTTGTCCGATTGTCTAATCAGCTAGCAAGGCTGTTTTTAGGAAATGGGGTCTTCGTGCAGGGTCTGTCGTTTGTTACTATCAAGGATGAAGTGGTCTTTTCGTTAGTTAGCCTTACTCATATTTCCTTGTACATAGCTTGTATTCCACCACCCTTTCCTCCTGTGTGATGTGTGTACATATGATATATCTTGTGTACCCTAAAATAAAAGCTGTTTTACTTGAACTCTCAATTATCGTGGCATTTCATAACTTGAATTCTGCAATAATAGGTTTTGATTACTGGGCAAAAGAAGTAACGCATCTAGGACCTCAGCCTCTGAAACAAGCAATTTAGGGCTTGTCCACTCATATCTGTTTCACTTCGTCAAATTGCATGTTGAAACTAGTTATATTACATATTACATAACCCTACTAAAACTCTGAGTGATGTCGAGTATTTGGGCTTGAAAAGGATCGCACAAAAATTCGAGTTCTTCGAGTCGAAATTCGAGTTTTTTTGGTACCCTTTTGAGTCGAGTTGGAGTTTGAATTCCATTACTTGATCGAGCCTGAGTTCGAGTAATTCGATTTTTTTACAAACTCGACCTCAAGTATAGTCTTACTCAGGCTTGACTTGGCTTGAATGCACCCAGCCACCCCTAGTACGTGTTACTTGTCACTTGCCAGAGATACAATGGTCAATGAATGGAAGTATTAAATAATAATCTTAAAGAACAACAACAAAGAGTATGAATCATGTCTGTTTTCCCAATAAACCACTTTAATGGCGCTTAACATTTTCAAGAAATTATTATAATCATAACACCCTAATCTTAAAGAATGTTTCGGCATCATTCTACTCATTCCGGTTGAGAAGGAATTACAGGGACAGAGCCAGGAACCGGTGTCAGTGGTGTCAATTTAACAAAACATAATTTTTTTGAAGCAGAATACTATTACAAAATAATATGCGGGTTTCGGGTTTGCTCTTTCCTTATTTCTTGTGGGAGCTTTGGAATAGAGTTGTGAACTGCCCAAATTTTAATTGTTTAATTGGTGTTCCAACTTTTTAAAAAATACATTGACCACTATTTCTTTAATTTGTAGAGGTGGCGTCAATTTATAATTCATGACCTATAATTCAGTGTCAATTTTAAAATTTTGAAAAATTTTATATACCTACTAATGAAAAAAAATCAACGGTGTCAATTGACACCATACCTCAAAGCCTAGCTCCGTCCCCGGAAGGAAAGTAATCATGGTATTAAGTTATCAGTTAATCACATATAGTGGCACCTCTAACAAAACTGTTTCTCATTGAGGTCCCTTATTCATAAAATTAGGGGTGTCCACCAGACCGACCAGAACCAGAGCCGGTTAGGATCGGAACCGGAATCTGTAGTTTGGATGGACCGGAGATCGGACTTGTTAGCAACCGGTCCAGACTGGTTCAAACCTGTTTATTCAGGATTTATGCACACCCCTACATAAAATAGTTTAGTTTGTTTGCTCGATGAATCCAACGTAATCTCGTAATATTCAATACTGCTTCAACGCTTGTTAGTACTCCGTATTATTTTATTTGAAGTTGGACAGGGTTAGTCCTGAAAGTTTATGAGCTCATGACAATGTAAAATAAAGGGCCCTAGAGACATTATACAATTTCATTTTGTGACTAGGGTCTAGGGTGATTAACTATGTAAAGTTATACACATACACATGCATCAAACACGAGGCACTCACACATTATCTAGCATAATGAAAATATAAACTTATAAAATTATACGTATAAGCTAAAAATGAGAATTCTTTTATTTCATTTTTCTAATTTGTCTTTCGAGGGCAAAAGCGTCCGTATGCAGTGCAAAAATCAAACTTGGAGTCTAGGATTTAAAAGTCGAATATAATTAAAAAAAAGTTAGAAGAGGATTAAAGAAGAATAGTATTCCACCCGTGCGTTGCACGGGATGAAAAGTGGAAATGATTTAAATGCTAACATATAAACATAAATACAGACCATATTATTGTTTTATCACGCGAATGAGAGTAACGATAAACAAATAATAATAATAATAATAATAATAATAATAATAATAATAAATACTAAAAGTTTAATAAACACACATTTTACAAAAACTTCCTTTTAGACAACATTATTTAAACTACTTCATAAGAATATTATAATTAGGTAAGGCCTTGATTTTGAATATCATCCTTGAAAGTATCTTCTTGCGGCTTAATTAAAAAAATGTCTCTAGAGTACTCCTTTATCGGTACTTTATGAATTGGATAAAAGTTGAGGTAAGGGTTAGATTGGTATTCGAAGTCCTTACCGTTCGGCCGTCGCTATTTGAGGCGGTTCCCGGTGGAATTCTTTGATGAATTTTTTTGAACATCTTATTCATTAAGTCTAGTTTACTCATACCAAATTTCAGCTAAAACTTCAATCGGGAAGGCATTCAAATGGATTCTTGAAGATAAATGTGCTTTTAACTGCGCAGTTATCTTCAAGAATTCATTTGAATGCCTTTCCGGTTGAATTTTTAGCTGAAATTTGGTATGAGTAAACTAGACTTAATGAATAAGATGCTCAAAAAATTTCGTCAAAAAATTCCACTGGGAACCGCCCCAAATGGCGATGGCCAGCAGAGCCTCCTATATAAGGACTTATTCGGCCCCATTTATGCAACTTCGAGTACCAATCTGACCCTTACCTATAAAAGTTGATAAGGAGTAGAAAGATTGGATTCCAAGAAGTTACGAGTATATAATTGTGTTTGTGCTCCCGTTGGTTCACTTGAGTATCTAGATTGTGATTAGACACCTTGTGTTATTCAAGCTTTTTATTCAAATGTCAGCCTGCGCGCACATACATAAATCTGAAGTTGAACATGAAGTAGGAAAGTCTAAAACTTGATATTCTCACAGTCTCTGCTTTGAACATATATAATGACTTTGAGATACTCTATGGTTTTAGTGACTAAAAAGATCCAAAGATAAAAATTTGGTAGCTATTTGATTTAGTTTTTTTTTACATACAAGCTGTTCAGACTAATTAATACAAAAAACTACAGACTTTTCAAATGTTACTCATTGTAGCATCTAAAAAAAATCTTTTATTTTTAAAAAATCTCTTAAAAATTGTCATGCCAAACAATCAATTAATAAGCCGAAAAATAAAGTTACCAAATGAGCCTTCAATTTATTATCCTACGCTATTATATTTTAAATCAAAGCAACGCAACAAAAAAACAATGATTTTGTTAGGGATTTTAGTCAGGGATACTGTCCCTACCACGCTTGTCGGGGATTTTTGTTAGGGATTACATAAAAATTTGGTCAAACAATTTTGTCAGGAATATTTCCCCAACAAAATTTGTTTGGGATAATATTCGTAACAAAATCCCCGACTGTGCCCTAAAACAGGCCACCAGCCGAATTTTTTGGCCGGAATATATGTCAGGGAAAATATCCCTTACAAAAAAAGTTGGAAAAAGTAGCTGTTTGATTTTGTCAGAGACAGATCTCCGACAACAGTTAAAATTGATTATTGTCATAGATTTATTCCCTAACTAAATAAAAAATACTCTGTATTCAAGCTACTTGTGCTATTTCTATTTTCTACACCCTTGATTATTTTGGCACCCAAATCAGATGAACAATGTCAAGTTGTATGCATTGCATTATTTAGCTCATTCTTTTACTTGTGCTATTTCTATTTTCTATAATGTGGATGCCGAGATTTCGTGGACCGTGCTGGTGCACTGCCTGGAAATTTGAAAAACAGTAATCACGTTTACTTGTTCTCTTTCCTGATATAGAAAACAGAAAAAAGAAACGCTTTCCTTCACCAGCTTTCTAAATTTAGAAAAAAATGTTATTCTCGAATCTTACATTTTCCCCAAAGACCAAAAAACATCTACTCCCTCCGTCCCCCTAACTTTGTCCCGTTTTACCTTTTTCGTCCGTCCCATTAAGTTTGTCTCATACCATATTTGGTAATATTTGGGTGGTTATCATTCATTCTTACTTTATTCACACTTTATCAATTCAATATCAACCACACAATTCCACTTTTTCTTAAATGTTGTGCCACATCCCTTTGTCCCAAACATAGTGGGACGGAGGTAGTAGTTTTTTTACTTTTTCCAAAATGAATTTTGCTATAGGTACCCCAAACCCTACCCCATTTGTACCCCATATAAAAACACACTCCCACTTTTCTTCTCCCCTCTTCCCTCTCTCCTGCACCCCTACCTCTCTTCCTCCCTCCCTCCCTCCCTCCCTCCCTCTCCTCTTTTTCACGCACCCCCCTCCCTTCTCCTTTCTTCTCCATTTCAATATCTTTCTCCTTCTTTAAAACTTCCCATTTTTATCATCACCCCCCTCCAACCTCCGATCTTCTCCTGCTTATCCCCTCTTCCACCGGTGACCTTGCCGACGGCGGCCCTACGCCGGTTGCCGACGGCGGCCCTACGCCGGTTGCCGACGGCGGACCTATGTCGGTTGCCATTTCGGATGCAACCTCAAGGGAAGACAACAATGAAGACATACCAAGAAGCTTTGAATAACTTGAGCAACATATCTTTTTTTCTTGATTTTGTTTTCTTGATTTTTGATGTATTTTGGAAATCAAAGGGGTTGTCTGTCTGCCAGACAACTTGAAAGTGCAGTGTCTGTAAGAGTCGTGAAGTTGTCTGTCCTTTGAAAAATAAATGTCTGTAATTGATATTTAATTGTTTGTCATTTGTTTATTAGTTGTCTGTATTTGTTTTGAGTTGTCTGTAATGACTTGTCTGTCATGTTGTTGTGAGGTGTCTGTAAAAGTCGTGAAGTTGTCTGTAACTCATATTTAGTTGTTTGTCATTTCATTGTGAGTTGTAAGTAATTTGTGGTGAAAAATAATGTCTGTCTTGTTATCTTTATTGTCTGTCTAGTTATATGTATTGTCTGTCTTTTTTATGAAACATATGTCAAAATGGTAATTCACAATAAACTAATGTATGTATGTGTATACTTATGTTTGTATGTGTATACTTATGTCTGTATGTGTATATTTGATGTCTGTCTCGTTATACTAATTACATCTCAAAAAATAAACAACACAAATTACATACAGACAACTCAAAACAAATACAGACAACTCAAAACAAATACAGACAACTCAAATTAAATGAAAAACAATTAACCATCAATTACAGACAGACAGACACTGCACTTACAAGTTGTCTGTCAGACAGACAACCCTTTTAATTTCGAAAAAACACCAAAAAATCAAGAAAGGAAGATCCACTCAAGTCATTCAAAGCTTCTTGGTCTACACCTTCATTGTTGTCTCCCCATGT